TCCCAGGACCCTGGGATCATGACCTGAGCTGAAGGCAGACACTTTACCGACTGAACCACCCAGGTGCCCTTCACTCCTTATTTAGATACACCATTTTTCTACTCTTGCCTCCCTCTCCCTCTTTTAAATCCTGCATTTCCCAAATTCCAGCCATCTTTCAGTCCTTGTCACTGTCCTCATGAGTTCCTCTCCCAGGGTCATCCGGTCTTCCGCCAGGATGGAGTCAGCCAGTCGACGAATGGGCTAAGTTGAATGTGTCTTGTCACTGAGCCTGCTGTATGCTTTGGGTATTTGTCCATTTATGTTGCTTCCTTATAAAAATTCATCATCTGATAAAATTTGAATACTTTGAGGCATATCAAAACCTCTAAAGACAGTGGTGACTATGTACTGTTAAGAATCAACGTGAGAAACAGACTCGTTTAATTTATCTTTGAGAAAAGGACCAGAAACTATTTTTCAGACTCTTACTTGAATTCTAGGGACTGACAAAGAGAAAACAGTGGGAATGATCTTAAGCAGGACAGAAAGGCTAAAGCAGTAAAAGATAACACATCATATTTTTATGAAATCACACAGTAGAATTTTCTCTGGCGGTTTCACCAGTGTCCATAATGTTCCTATTCTTACATGTTTTCACTTGACCAGTGAGTGAACGGAGTCAGTGATTAATCTGTCTCCAAGGAAATCTTTAACGAAATTACAGTTAAATCAGAGGATTGCATTCTTGACGCATCTACTTGGTCAATGAAGGTTTGCTTTTTTCCTCTTCGGTTTCCCTCATTCTTGATCTTTTCTCCCAATCTCTTTTATTCCTCTGTTTTCCTCTTCCGCCTAGTTTGTGGTATTTGGCCAGTTCTTTAACTCCTACCCAGCTTATCCAGTTTTGTCATTGTACAGTTTCCCATAACTGCTTCTTAGCTTATTCTTTTTCTTTATTGGTCACATTTTATGTTCCATTTATTATGCTTTCATACAGTTTTGAAAAGTTTGGCAAATACACTTTTTTTAAATGTATGTAATGTTTTCATATAAAACGTACTGACTGCTTTTGCCTCATATTCTCTCCTCTGTAAAAATGTAGCCGTTCCTTCCTTGCCCATAATTTCTCTTACTTTCCCTCAATTTAACCAGACTTGAGGGACTTAAATGTGTCATTTTCTGTAATTTAGGAACATTTCTCCATTTAAAAAGCATACAAGAAGTTGAGATAATGCAGTAACTATGAAACGTGTCTCTCCTGCTCACTCGCGCCTTCCACGTGTCTCTTGCCTACTCTTTCTTCAGTGGTGAATCTATTTTGTACTCCTTTGTTCCCTTACCTCCAGAGATTCTGATGCAGTCAGCCAATGGTGGAATTCTGGGCTTTTATATTTTGAAAAAGTTCCCTAGGGAAGTCTGATATGGAATCCTTATTAAGAATGATGCTTTCATAGCAGAATCAAAACACAATAAGCTTTCTAACTGTGATGAATAATCCAATAGATTTAATTATGATTCTCTTTCTGTCCCAAACTAAGACTAGATGTTAATTGCCAGAGAAATGGATAAGGATGTCTATGACAACAGAACATTAGTATGATATCAAAGCTTGGACATTTTGCTGGTAGTGAATAATTTAGTGCTTAAAATATTTAGAAGCTATAGAATTAAAATTAATTTGTTTTTCCCTAAGTGAATAAAGTTGATTGAGGTTTTACATTTAATTTGTTACATCAAATTTTATCTTCTTCGGGCTCAGAGGCTAACTTGTAAAACACCACGTACACGTTTTTTACTTCCTGTTTCGATCCATTATGCCATTGTCTTATGCTTTATTACGGAAAGCTCTCCTCAAGTGGATCATACACTGTAAATACCTCTCCTGATTATAAAATCTTCTCACACAAATGCAATAGACTATTTAATGAGCTCTCCTTTCACAAAATTAAAAAACCTGAAGGCCCTGGTTTGGGACTCTATATAAAATGAGATTTAGATCTAACAATTTTAAATTATTGCTTTATTCTTAGCTATTCAATTCTCTCTCTTATCTGGGAAATAGAAAGAATAAAACCCTTGTTGATTCTACAGTTGGGTTGTAAAAGTCGCTGCAGCCACCAGCCATGAAGTACAAGGGCCAAAATCAAAAATACAAAGCAGAGGAGCTGATATAAAAATTCTGAAGTGGCTTTAGCTTATAGCATTATAAACCACCACCAAGAATTCTTTGATTACTTAACAAAGATTCTGTCATCGGACTACTCAGTGTGGTGTTCCTAGACCAGCAGGATCGGCGTCCGCACGAAGCTTGCTTGAAGTAGAGAATTTGGGGCCCTCCACAGACCCACTGAACCAGAATCAGCAGTTTGGCAAGTTCTCTAGGAGATTCTTGTGCACTTTAAAATTTGAGATGCAATGCTATAGCACACATCTAATACATACTCCAGGCATTTTTTTCAAAATATTACAAATAGCTGTGGATATTGGACACCACTGAAGGTACAAATCAGAGTCTTAATCTTTCTTCTCTACTTTCCTAATTTCTGTCTTTTAGGCAAAGATTTTCCCATTCCAGTAGTCATGCATGATTGCATGATCCAGCTAGTTCACAAACCCTGTAGATTCTGCCCTAACAGGGTATTGGGTTTATCTTTTCCTTTCTGGTGCATTATCAAAAGTCTAGTCTTACCCCAATACCAGTCTCCCAGAATCCTGCCCTAGTGTTTTCCCTGTGTCCCTGTCTTAACCTTAGCCTGAACTCTGCCTCAGAATTAACCAGAAACACAGCTCTATCTCCAATACTCCTGTACTTACAACAGAAGTTATTTTCTTTTGCCACCCGAAGCATTGCATACTCCATAATGAAAAGCCAAGTCCTCTCTGCCGAGGCCCAGGATCCATCCAGGGCTGCCCCTCTCCCTGCGCTCCCCCTCCCATACTGTGACATGGAGCCCAGAAACATATTCCTGATCACATCATGGAAATGGCACACCATAGGCCTTGCCTCCTGCCATTCGCTCACCCCCCTGATCCTCCACGTTTCTCAGGTCTACCCATTCTTCATATTTCACATCCCCCCAGAGGCATCTCCTGTTCATCCTTCCACTGAAATCATCCCTCTTCTGGTGCATCGTTTATGAGCATCTTGCTTTCTCTCTTGTATGGAGTACAACAAATTATCCTTCACAACTGTGTCTCACCTCTTCAGCTAGATTATATACTGCCTGAAACCTAGAAAATGGAACTTATTTCTTTGAATCTCTAGGAGGCCCAATGATAAGTATTAATCCTAATGATACCCTGACAATGATGAAACTGAATGTCTCCCTTCCTCCCCCACTTCCTTTATTTAGACATGCATGCGTTCTCTCAACAGATAGTTCCCGAAACCTCCCAGGCGCCAGATACAGGACTAAGCATTAAGGACACAGTCATGAATAGGACACAGTCTCTGACGTCAGTGAATGTCTGGTATAATAGGAATATAGACACAGTTTGTTATGAATGAGTGTACCCATTACTGAGCAAGTAACAGTGAGTGTCCCACACCACCCTGGTGTGAATGGATGGTAAAGAGTGAGATTCAAGTAATGGTGAAAATCAGCTAGTTGCAAGGAAATACCACATGTTCACTAGAGCATATCTCATGTACGTGTAAGAGAGTATATAGTGAGGAAGGCTTATGAACAGTTCGATAACTACATAGTTTTATGTTCATTTGAGGCACGGTGGTCCCTGGAATAATGGCCTTGTTATCATTTTTGCTGATTGATTGAGTCTTTTAACTGTTAAAGTTATACTACCAGAAATTCTAGTATTCAAAATAATATTACAAAAAGTAGTAAAAAAAAAAATCTTTAGGTGGAATAAGAATCTTAGAGAGATTTGACCCAGTCTCAGAAGACATGCATCCATTCATTTATTTGGCAAGCATGGACTGGCATTTACTATGTCCTTGGTACTGGCTCAAAAGACAGGGAAATATAAGAATACAAGATCATGAGAATCACATCTATCAGGAAAGTGTTCTGCATACTAACTTTATGCAATTAGTACATGGGAATTTGTAAGCCCTTTTGATTTAAACATGGTAGGGATCTCAAGTTCTCAGATTATTTCATTTTCTAATCTGCAGATTTAGTACTGGATTATTTTAATTGCCTAAAACATTCTAGATGATCTTTAAAAAAAAAAGTAGAGGGCCATTTTTATGTAATGGTAAAGAGCATTTTTGTTTTTATGTATATTTGGTTGTAGTAGTCTCTTTTTTAATGACACTCCTTTTCTGTTACTCTTAAATTTTCATTCAGGATAAAAAGTGGAAAGTATTTCATCTTAACATCATCAATGACTCATAAAAATGTTCTGGTGGCTATAGATTATTTTTAAATTTATCACTGTACCTTAGGGATTTTTTGATAGACTGCCCCTGAAAGCAATTAATTCTGTTTTATGTGGTTTTATAATGCAAAATACCTTGATGGAAACAGAATTTGAAATAAATTTCCTTCTAATATAAGCAATGAATTTTTGCTTAAGTATCTCTAGAGGTTGTTTTTTTTTTAAATACTGTGACTAAAGTATGTTTGTTCTTTTTCACCTCTCCTATCGACAGTCATTAAGAAATCGAAATACTTTTTTCATGTTGAAATTTTACAACACTTCATAGACTATTAAACATGGAACATCCTTGTGGGGACAAGAAATCAAATTTGCTCTTGATGTTTCCAACTAATTGATTTGTAGGACATTATACCATCGTCTAGCTGACAAGCTTTACAAATAGAAAGACCGGAGCTGAACTGAGAGGGTGCTTTTTTACTGACACATAAAAGGTGTCTTTCTGTCTTGTAGCCTTTGGATATAGGCATGTCAGTTTCATAGGGAAACTTTCACACGGCGCTTTTTTATTTCTTTCTCTCCCCATAGAACCACATGTGGTAGCACATTGTTAAATCTTTTCTCAAATAAAAAGACGTAGGGCTTCATTTTTGTTTTGCCTTTTTGGTATCTTACAGGAACTCCAGGATGGCATCGAACAGCGGCAAACTGTTGTCAGGGTATTGAATGCGACTGGGGAAGAAGTAATTCAACTGTCCTCCAAGACAGATGCCAACATTCTGCAAGAAAAACTGGGAAGCCTGAATCTGCGGTGGCAGGAGGTCTGCAAACAGCTGGTAGAAAGAAAAAAGAGGTAGGATAACAGATAAAAATAGGAATCCTAAAATTTTAGCAGAGCTATTTAAGCTGTCCTCTAAAAAAAGACTGTGAAAGATTGGAACCAGGGTGAAAGGCAGTAAGGGGAAGGAGCCCCTCAACTGTTAATCAGTAGCAATAATGAATTTATTTTCTGAGTCTCATGTCCTGAAACATGTAGCTGCTGCTAGTGAAATAGACAGCACTTTGCTATTTTAAACTTTGAAGTTTGTTTTAAACACCAAGTGATTGTTCAAATACGAACATCTTCAGTATATTCCGGTTTTAACAAGCTGAGGCTCATTTATTTGAAAGAAGATGACAAAAGGAAATAACAAATGACGATTTTGTAAGAAAGACTGTGATTTGGCTAGATTTTTGAACAGCTATGAGTGTGACTCTGATACTCAAAACCAAGATGGTCATATTTAGTTTTTAGTTCCACTACATTTGTCAGTACATGCTTGAAGAGGGACTTGGGCCGACAATGGTCAAATCTAAAGGGGGGAAAAAATAAAGGGGCAAACAAAACCTCAGAAAAGTTATTGCTGAATTCAGTCATCTTTTAACTTTCCCTTGGAAGGTCCTGAAAGCCCAGAATGCCAAATGTATACTGCTGCACTTGGAAGGCATAGATATTTTTATAAATGGGATTTTGTATTATGCTTCCTGTTGTTGATGCTAATGTTGCCTGTTTCATAAGGGAGGATTTGGCCTTTATTTACCAAATGAGACTATTGTTTTGAACAATGAAAACTCCCTTCTATTGCCAAGCTCTTGCTTCCTACCTATCATCTACATAATAGGCGGTTTTTAATATTCAGAAAGCTAGGACAACTCATTGATGAACGTCTTTGGTGAGGATATATTAGAAAGGTTTCAGAATTAGGTCCATTGTCTTTGCCCACCTCCTCTTGGCGCCTTTGCTCCTGTTGCATTATTCAAAAAGTAGATAAAATTCATATTCCTCTACAAAAGGGATGCTTTACTTAACCTACACACAAACATAAACACACCTCTTGATAAAAGTTTAAAAATTTTTATAGCATCATCTAAAAACATTTTTAGTTTGAATCTTGGCTTAGAAAATAATTATAATTTTTTCTTAAAGATTTTTATTTATTTATTGAGAGAGAGAGAGAGAGAGAGCATGAGGGGGGAAGGGGCAGAGGGAGAAGCAGACCCCTGCCAAGCAGGGAGCCCCATGCGGGACTCGATCCCAGGACCCTGAGATCACACCCGAGCTGAAGGCAGACACTTAACTGACTGAGCCACCCAGGCGCCTAGAAAATAATTATAATTTTTATAGAGATAATGGAAAATAAAGATCTAAACTTGGTGGTGAAACTGCTTCCTTGGGAAAATCATATACTTTTTTCCCCACATTGAAATCTCTCTATTAAACACACAACTATATCATTACTTAAATAACTGATGTTTAGACTATGAGCAGGTTTAAACCTGTATAATATCATTTCTGAACTGAAGTCAATCCAGTCTAAAATAAGATGTTAACAAATGGGCAGATTAAGGAAAATCACATAGCCTGCTCTAAAAATTAATAACTTGAATTCATAAAGTAGATTAAATGGGTTGGAAGATTATTTATTCTTTATTATATATAAAGCATTGTTTCTCATCTTTAAATATCCTGCTCATATTGTGTTTAAACACATGTCAATATTTACTCTGATAACAAGTTTTTGAAAATTCAGGTGAAAAAGTGATCTGTTACTTCTAAATGAAAATCAGAACTTAGAAACATAGGGCATTATGACTGTTTCACCAAATAAGCTCCAAAATTTTAGATCCTTCTAAGTTTACAAGAAAGTAGTGTATGCTGATGCTGTGATGAAATATTACACAAATTGTAGGTTAATTACAGCTAGGGATTTGGCTGTAATTGGTTAGAAATATTTCTCCCATTTAAACATTTTGACCTACATTAAATATTGCACTTCCGTGCTTTAAAAAGTCAAGATCAGCTTCCTTGAGGGTTTTTTTTTTTTTTTTAACTCAGCTTTTATTTTTTTTTTTAAGATTTTTATTTATTTGAGAGAGAGAGAATGAGCACGAGAGGGAAGAGGGTCAGAGGGAGAAGCAGACTCCCCGCCGAGCAGGGAGCCCGATGTGGGACTCGAACCCGGGACTCCAGGATCATGACCCGAGCCGAAGGCAGTCGCTTAACCAACTGAGCCACTCAGGCGCCCTTAACTCAGCTTTTAAAGTTGTCTACTTCACGCTACATTTTAAAAATAAATGTTAGCATATTTAAATTTCCACTGAGATCAGTTTCATGGCATACTTCCTCAGAATTTTTGTATCATTTAAATTTTATGAAATGTAAAAAAGTAATAAAATAGAAGTGCCTTTTCTACCAATACACTAACAGCTATTTCCAAGCATCCAGTAGCAAATAAAGTAAAAGTAAAAAACATAAAGAATATGTTAACCTAACAATAGCAGAAGAGCTGTAATCATGAAACCATTATTAGTCAATGCCATGCTTTCACTGCAACCCAAGGAGAAGTCAGCAGGAAACAGAAGTTATTTATTGCACAGGTGAAAAATAAAATCACTATTCAAGTTGACATCAGTATTCTCAGTTTGCAGTGGGCTTTAAATGCAGCTGTTGGAAATATTTTATGTTTCCTGGTCCATGTACACATACAAAAGAAAGTACACAATTTAAGCAAAAAAAAAAAAGTCTGCAAAACTGTTTGGAGCCTTACAGCTACATAATTTTAAACCCTTCTTTTTGAAAATGCAAGATATCAGAAATACGAGCAGAAAAATCCCGAACAAATTCAAATAGCAGTGGACATCCATTAAGGTTAGTTTATGTTGGAAGTAAATGAAGTATAAAATGCAGTCAATTAGGTATACAATTGAAGACAAAATTCACTGTTGCCTCAATTATGTAGCAGAGGAACTGGATAGCATCTATAGGTTTAAGCATGACAGTATAATGAGTTTAATGATGGCTTAGCCACCAATATGGTCTTTGTAAATGAAGAAGATGCAAATGAAAATTTATCAGCCATAAAGGAAATCATAGGCTAAAACAAAGCAAGCCTATGTAATGAGGATTCTTAAGCCCAGGTCCATTGGTAGGATTCAAGGGGTGCCATGAGCTTGAATTGTAAAAAAAATACCTCTCTGTTTTTGCTAACCTCTAATGGAAATTGAGCATTCTCTTCCATTTTGAATAAAGGCAACAAACCAGAGTAATACTAGGAGTACCTGTGAAATCACAAATATTTTTATATTTCAGTAGAGTAGCTACACATATCTCAAAGTACTGTTCACGGTTATCACTCGTCAAAATTGTACCAGTTATTAGATTTTCCATAAGATCTTATCAATGTGTTAATAATAAACAAGCACATGTATTGCTATATCACAAAAAATATTTTCTAGTAGTTTTATAACCGTATTTCGATACAACTGACTTTCTTCGGAATTCTTGGCTTTTTATATTCTGGACTTAAAAACATGATTCTGAGAAGAGTCCCAGGCTTCGCCAGATTGCCAGAGGGCTCCATGGCATAGGGAAAAAAGGATCTTAACGATTTCTGGCTAGCTGTTTTTCTGCCCAGACCTCATTATCATGTACTATGGTCTCAGTCCTTTTAATGATGTCACTATCTTCATACACTCCCTTTTTTCTGGATATCCCAGGAGATGTACCATTCAAGGGAATGTGGGTAGGCAGGCCTTTGAGCAATGGATAGCTGACAACATAAGGGAGGCCATTTTACTTAGAATAATATCAGTTGATAAAAGATAGAATGGAAGAGGGCAGCAAGGTAATGGGAAGTAGAATCCCTAAATTGAGGAATCTTTGAATCATAATCCGTAGCAATGAAAAGTGATCTCAAGAATTTATCTCTCCTTTTCCCTTTAGGCAAATATGGTATTGTTCCCACCATTGTAGAGATAAAGCAATTATTGTACTTACAGAGAGAGAAATAAGAGTTTTAATTTAAATGCCACCCTGATCGAATACACTGCTTGAAATTTGTCTTTTGCCAACATTTTAATTAAAAAATTACAAGCATATAGAAAAGTTGAAAAAAGTAGCATAAGGAATACCCATATACCCTCTTCTTCTCCTAAATCCCTAGATTCAATAGCTAACGTTTTGCCATTTTTGTTTTTTTTCTCCCTCTCCCTACCTCCCCCATATGTGCCTTTATTTATTTAATATAGGCAATAACACACACACATACACACACACACACACACATTTTTTGTTTTAAAATTTGCAAGTAAGTTATAAACACCCTTATGCTGCACCTCTAAATACTTCACCATGCATTTCCTTAGAATAGGGACATGCCATATATAGCCATGCTTATTTACCATGCTCAAGAAAATTAAACAATACCATATTATTATTTAATACCCCACCCATATCCAAATAGACTGAATGACTCAAAAATGTCTTTCATATCATTCTTTGAGTTTTTCATACCAATGTCCCATCATGTTTTATGTATTGCATTTGGTTTTGTAGGAGAGGGGAAAAAAAAAAAAAACCTTTCTCCTCTACCCTCTTAGCTTTATTATCTGGAGACTGCAAGTTAAATTGACAAAAAGACACATTAATAGGGAAAAGGGCATACAGATTTTATTTGATGTTAATTTTTTAATGTGGCACAGGGGGCTTCATAGGAAAGAAGTGAAAAGCCAAAGAAGCGGTAGACCTAAGAGCTTAAATACCATTTTAACAAAGAGAGTTAAATTGTAGGGAGGTGACAAGACAAAAGAAAGGGGTTTGGGCTTCTAGGGGTGATAACTTGCAGGAAGGCAAATATATGGGGAAACTAATGGAAGATAAGGCTATGTCAGTAATAAGTAGATTCAAGTCCGTGCTGCTACCTCTAGTGATAAAAAGTCATCTGCTCTTCCTGGTCCAGAAAAGGGACAGCTGAATACCTTCACAAGGGCAGGTGTATGCCCTGCCTTAAGGCAGAAATACACTGGGTAGAGAGCTTTTCCTGTGTCTGCTCTATCTCAGTTGCCTTCCGCTCAAAATAATTCTTACACCCAAGTGGCATATTATGATCCCCTTCAGTTATTAGGTTTCTTCAGTCTTATTTACTTATTTATAAAGATTTTATTTTTTTTAGAGAAAGATAGAACAGGAGCTGTGAGAGGGGCAGAGGGAGAATCTCAAGCAGACTCCATGCTGAGTGCGGAGACCCACTTGAGGCTCAATCTCATGACCCTGAGCTCACGACCTGAGCCAAAACCAAGAGTCAGCTGCTTAACCGACTGAGCCACCCAGGAGCCCCTGTTCAGTCTCTTTTAGTGGAAAATAGCTCTCCCACTTTCTTTCTCTTTTGACTGATACTGACATTTGGAAGAGTCTGGTACAATATCCTCAAAAAAAAACTCACCTTTCTGGATTTATGTAATATTTTCCCCTTCATTATATCATTTAGCTTGTTCTCTTTTCACTGTATTTTTTGTAAACTGGATGTTGAGACTTGAAAAGATGCAAGTTAAATGTTTTTGGCAAGAATACTTCATGAAAGACGGTGTGTACTTCGGATCACATCAGAGGTCATAAAATGAGGTGGTCCCGCTATAAATGTTGCTAAGTTTGGTCACTTGGTTTAGGTGGTGGCCATCAGATACTGAGTTGTAAAGTATCATTTTTTTTTGAAATTAATAAGTCCCTAATGGCTTTAGTATCCTTTGATGATCCTTCCCAAACTCACTACATTAGGGTTGCAAGATGGTGATTTTTTTCTGAATTCTGACATGAACCTACAAGCTGATTTCTTCTATTTAAAAAGAAAAGCTTTCACTTTTCTCCTTGATATCAGTATGGATTTATGGATTCTTATTCAATATGTTACAATAAGTTATAGTTATTCTTCTTGTTGATATTCCCACCTTTATTAAATTTGACCAGTGGAAACTTGTTCGAGCTTCTGGCTTCAACACCCCATGCTCACCGTGTACTTTCCCTGCCCCAGGTTTGAAATCAACCATTTCTCCAAGGGCCTCTGATTTAAATCTTTTAGTGGGGAACAGTGTGTGGAAACCAAAATGTGTGCAGTAACCCTTTCTGAAACGAAGACTGGCATCTTTCTGGCAAGCTGTCCTAGGGGAAAATGTTTTTACATTCCTTTCGTAAGGACACAAAAATCTTTCAGTTATACATCAAAGTTCAAAGTAAGGCTAGGTCTTTTAAAAAGCCCTTATTGTGCAAGACTCATGTAAAACCTGTAACTTCTTATTCGTTTAAATGTTCTACTTCTGATGTTGCGAACCAAAGTTTACCTGTATGTAATCTATGCTAGTTTGCCAAGCAAATTAATGGTGTAAATAAGCTAATGGGAAGCATCCCTAAATGTACTTAAGGGAAGAAATTGTTTTTTAAAGACCTTAGTTCATTGTTTGCATGCAAATAGATGCTGTTAATTAGAAATGAGCCTTATCTAATTCATTAAAGTAGGCCTAGTAGGACCTCTTCTTGAAAATCTCCGGTAGCAATTCATATATTCTGTGCACTCTTTGTGAGACAACTGTTCTCTCTTAAGTCTTCTTTAATTTTGTCTCCTGACAAATTTAGGCTCCCCTAACCAAAACAGCCTTCTGTATAGCACCCTTTTTCCTACAAAATGAAAACCAAAAATTTTAATATGTTAGAAATCTCTTTGTAGTGCTTGTAATCTTCCCAGTGGACCCGGCATACCCATGTTAAACCAGTGCTGAAAGCCTCCTCACACATTCCTACTCCGCCCCCAGGATCTCGTCAGCCCTAACTCCAGTCTACTTGCTCTGTACTTGAACTTCCCTGGTTTCTTCAGCCAGCCCCAAGTTTGCAGACTGAGTGCCCACAGGTGGAATCCAGCTTGGAAAGTGTGTAGTGTTTTTACAGAGGCACTGTTTTTGAAATAATTGCCAACATTTAAACATCGAGGGGCTTCATATTTTCTAAAACAAACCAACAAGGGCTCCTGTCTCCTTTTGAAAACTCATATCTGGGGGGGGGGCGGCGCCTGGGTGTCTCAGTCGGTTAAGCATCTGCCTTAGGCTCAGGTCATGATTCCAGGGTCCTGGGATGGAGCCCCGTCTGCTTCTCCCTCTCCCTCTGCCTGCCGCTCCCCCTGCTTGTACATGAACTCTCTATTTCTCTCTTTCTCAAATAAAATCTTAAAAAAAAAAAAAAAAAAGTTAAAAAAAAAAAAGAAAATTCAGATCTGGCTACTGGGCCCTCACCCCCACATTCTCTCAAGACACAAGTCAGCTGCATCTGAATAAGAGCTGTTTCAGACTTGCTACTCAAAGTGTGGTGTCTGGACTAGAGCACGGACATCACCTGGGAGTTGCTGAGAAATGCAGGGTCTAATCATAGTCAGCATTTTAACAAGACTCCCAGGTGATTGATAGCACAGGAAAGTTTGTGAAGCACTGGTTTGGGCAAGCAAGCTTACTCTTCAGTTTGCCACACCTGTCCCACTTCAGTCGTTTATATTAACTGCTTTCCCATAGACATTTGTTTTATAATACTTCATATAGATGCTCGTATAATGGTGGTGGTCTTGGTGGTGACAGCACTTAATATTGCCAGGTGCGGTTCCCAGTGCTTTACACAGCTCATGGAATCTTCATTAACAACTCTTTTCTTATATTCATCTTCACAGAAGGGCAGTTGGGGCACAGACTGCTTAAGTTCTTTGCCCAAGACCACATAACTAGCAAGTATTTGAACTAGGATGTAAACGCTGACAGTCTGGCCTCCTTCCTCTAGATCCAATTTTGCATTACTTATCTTAGCTTTGACCTTTAGTATTCTCTAGGATGTACTTCCAGTTTCTGCCCATCAGCCGCTCACTTAGCAAGCCCATTCCCTTAGCTGGTCATGCTTTTCAGCAAGGGGATAGGACATAGAATCTGTTCTGACCTAGCTTTCCAAACATGTTATCTATCATACTCATTATTTCAGCTTGCGTCCCAAGCATAAAATGACCTGATTAGCTTTTTGAGATTGAATTGCCTTTCTCATAATTTTCTCTGAAAATCCTACCCAACATAAGCGTTCTTTCCTCAGCGAGTACTACTTCCTGTTCTCAAGCAGTTTGTTCTCTTAAGTTCTTTTTGCTCCTTTTTATAACACATTACACTTTATGTATCTATCATGTAGCCTACCCACATGTGTTTTATCTTCCTTGGCAAGATCGAAAGCTTCATGAGGGCCAGGCAATAGCTTATTCTCATCACTAGAGCCCACAGTACTTAGCAGAAAATCTAGTACATTGTTGATAACCAAAAAAACATTTTTTTCAGTTTAAATTCTAAGATTTTTATTCACATTCAAAATAAAGTAGGATTATAAATCTCTACACTTGACATTGCTACATAGGTTAAAAATAGAGGTACAGAGCCAGAGCCATTTTTCAATGTTTTTTAATAATATTAACACAATTTCATGGATCATCTTTAGCTCTGGAAATTGGACTAGATCAATTCTAACCTTAAAGAAGTTGGGTTAATAATTCATGTTTTAGGTATCCTCCTGAATTTAATACTCTTGAGAGAAAATGACTTTAACTTCCATAGCTTTTTATATAAAAAAAAGCTCTTTGATTCAAATACGTTGTACATTTGTTTACCTCAGTTTTACTGTATCACAACTAATAAATTCTAGGTGAAATAAGAAATTAACCTTGAGACTGGGTATTTTATTTTCATCTAATCTATAAGCACAAAATGTTTTACTTTGCAATCCATATCATCAAAGAGCTATTTTTAGATTGATCAAAGAGGATCATACAGATATTATTATCCACAGGTGTCTATGGAAAATCTGGTCTCTTCCCATCTGTTATCTGATGACTCTTGAGAAGCTTTCAAGGACATTCATAATTCTTCATCAAAAGACTATGAAAAATTAGCCTCATAGTTAATCTTTTTATGTCATATTTTATTCTTTGCAACTTGGCAAATTCTAGTGAAACTGGCTAGCTGGAGCCAAACATGCTGCTGCATTGGCTGGTATGGACAATATCACTCTATAGATACACATGTGGGTGCACTTTATTCATGGCCTTCTATGAACTCTTAGGGGTCTGGGGAGGTAGGAGTTAGAATTGGTAATGGAGGATGATCTCTGGGATGGGCTTTGAAGGATGTCAGGAGTCAAATGAAGAATGAATGTATGGACATGCCAGAGGGAAAAAAAGTGACATGAGTAAAATCAGTGCAACAAGAAAAAGTGGGCTGTGTTGAAGGACTACATGCAGTCTAGAAAGGAGGGCACGTTCTGCGTGGAGCACTGGGTGTTATGCACAAACAATGAATCATGGAACACACACACACACAAAATCTTCATTTAAATGAGTTCATCATTCTGTATGTAAAACCAACTGCCCAATTTTTATTCCAAACTGAATGCTGGATATTAATACCCTCTATGTTTTTGAAAGTTTTTCGAGTAGCCTTATTGGAACCACGTACCTTGCCTCCCACCACTTGAGAGTAGCATTTCCAAGAGCCACCAATGTGCTGTTCCCAACCTGTTTAATACAAGATATTCTTGTTTTTTATATTCTTATGTAATTAAAATGGGAATGCAAAGAGAAAGAATTATGGTTTCTATGAAAACTAAGTTGAATGCTTGGAAAGACTTGATAACAATGATCAGGGAAAAAAATGTTCGAGTAGATATAGATGAGGAAACTAAGATTGGGGGTAGAGGGTAGAAATCACAAAAGTCAGGAAGATTTTTACATTTAAATTCTTTCTAATCTCTCTAAAACTTACTCTGCTTTGAAGAAACCAAAACTGAAAGTCTGAGATGATGAAATATGGGAGTGGTTTATGTAAGAAAGAGCATGCGTCACTTCAGTCAGTGGATCCTTACTTCAGGAAAGGTCTTGGACCGCATACGAAATGAGTGGTGAATTAGAGGCGAATATGTTCTAAAAGAAAATAAAATGTTTAAATATGTTTAAACAACTCTATGTAATCCCTCTGATTTAACATTTTTTTCCCAAGACTACCTATCCACTCATCCTAGTCAAGTTTAATAAGAGGATTCCTCTTGTATGTCTGAAGGACGAAGTATGGTGTGATACGAGCAGTCAAGATGGAGCAGGTCAGGGAAGATTTTGTATCTCAAACCTTTTCCTGGGGTGGAATAGAGGGGCCTTGGAAGGTTTCAGATAGTTCAGATTTGGAAGCACGTGGGCCCCTTTGATAGTTGAGCTCAGGGTGAAATGAAGAGGTTGAGGCTAACAGTAGGGTGTCTCAAGCAGTTCTGTAGTTTTTCAGATTAAGGATGAGAAATGTCTGAGCTGAATAAAATTCATGAAGATATGACAGATTTAAGACACTCAGCAGATGAAAATAAAAGGACTTAGTAATTGATTAGATGAGATGGGGGTGATGAAGGGAGGGCTCTAGGATGACCCCTTATCCACATTTCTGAATTGAATGCATTAGCTCGAATAGGAAATACAAGGGGGAGAACCCAGATGGAAAGAGGGACACACATCAGACGTACAGACTTCACCTTGGGAAATGACAGGTTTGAGAAGCCTGTGGAATATCTAAAACAAGGTGTTCAGAGAACGTGTGTTTGGATGTGTAAGTCTGAAAATCGGGAGGAAGACAAAGCTGCTGAAGACACTGAGCCTTTTTTTTTCCCCTCAATGGAGAGATGGTAGCAATTCCCAGTCACCTAACTCAGTGAGATCCCTTTCTTACTTCACTGACTTACTAGCTGGTAATCGAAACAGAGTTCCCAGGGTATGTATTAATAAGTGATACTGTGGAGAAGGAGTTCAGGTGTCAGGAAGCCACTGTGGCAGATGAGTACTAGTGGTAACTAACGAACTGAGGTAGTACATGTGATCTCCACTGGGCACAGACTACCCCCCCTTAACTATCCTAAGTCAGAAGGGTTGGTAAGCAAAATACTGGGGATATATCAGGAGACTAAATTGATTACAACACATAGGAAACTAAGCTCAAATTTCCCGTCCTATTGATGACAGATCAGAAATGTCCCCATGTCCCTACATATGTATAGGACCCTGGTGAAAGAAAGGATGTCTACAAGCATATTTAAAGCATGGATACAGTGTTCAGTGAAATACAAGTGTTCAATAGCTAGAGACACTGTAGGTGGAGAGACTGGAATATGAGAAATAAGCACAAACTGAAGCCTGCCCCAGG